CATTAAATAGACTATAATAAAGAACTGGGTTAATTGTATATTGGCAGATTGCATTTATTTTTTGCACAGGGGGGAGGTTGAGGACATACTTTAGCAGCTAAATGGTGACCCCCTGGAATACAGTTTATATACTTCCTTCCCTAGAATTTCCTAGGGATTCATTGCCAGATACCCCTGAAAAAGAGCGTTAAAGTTTAATCGCAAAGCATCCTCTGGATTTTGGTCTCTAATCACCCCACCTCTGGATTTCTGCGGTCTTTTCCACTCCTCCTCCTGGATTTTCCAAGGCCTTTTTACTCCCCACCCCTTGTGTGGAAAATAAATGCAATCTGCCATTACATGAGCAAGTTACTAAATGAGTTAGATTATATATCGAATTTGAAACCCTAATTGATCAGTTGGCTTAAATTATAATATTACAGTACGTGTAAAACGTTGTACTCCTGAAAACTGGTGCAGCAGTATTTGCAAATCTTCTCCGGAGCCCCCATGACATCAATACTGTCATTACTATTAAGCTAGACCAAATCAGTCACCCAACTAGACCTTAGCTAGACTGCATGTCAAGTATCAAAAATGATATAATTGATTTAAAGAACGTACTCAATTTTAGACACTCGAATTCAAGTTGGGGCCTTATTAAGGTGGGGCCTCGGAACAATTTGCTCCCCCCTGCCGCCACCTTCCTGGTGCCCTGCACAGGGTAAAATACTAGAAACGCTTCAGGTAAACGTTTCCCGAGCAAACCAGTTCTACATAAGGCTGGTTTACACTATCCGCAAAGTTTCTGCGATCTCAGTAGGAATTATGCCGTACAGGTAAATTCTAAGTTGCTATAAGCTAAGGATTTATAATTAAGGAACGTTTGAGTGAACTGACTTAGTGTTACAGGTAAACTACGTGAAGCGTTCCTCTTTTAAGTTCCTAACTTGGTTGCAATTTTCCTCATTACCTTAGCAAATTTGAAAAACTCTCTTGCAAATCCCTGGAGGGAATTTGCAATGTTCTTAAGAGTCAAATAAATTTTCCTCAGTTCCTGTTAGAAGTTCTTAACTTCCTGTTACAAGTTCCTAACTCCCTGTTCTGTTCTGCGCGTTGTAATTGGCTAACAAAAATAATCCGCCAATGATAACGCTCCAGAACTAGAACAGAACAGGAAGTCAGGAAATTAAAACAGGAAGTTAGGACAATTTGAAAGGAACTTTCTTTGCGTTGAAATATTGCAACGGCCGACAGGAAAATTGCAAATTCCCTCAAGGATTTGCAAAGAGTTTTTCAAATTTGCAAAGCTGATCAGTATGAAAATTCCAAATGCGTTAGGGACACAAAAGAGGAACGCTTCACGTAGTTTACCTGTAAATGCTAAGTCACTTCCCTCAAACACCTCTCACAAATGCTTCAATTGCAAAACGTAGATTTACTGCTATATCAAAATTTCTATTGCATGTGATCACAAAAAGTTAAACGTGAGAGTGTAAACTACTAAACCAGCTTACCAGCCTATATTACCACGGCACGTTAACGGCTTAAAACAAGTGCACCGCATGCGCAAATTAAAGACATACTATTTTTTAATAGTAAATACTAACGCTTATAATTCCGAACAAACTAACAGACGAGCAACTGACTCGCGTACGGAATATAAAGCGATGCCTATAACTTCCTTTGCAAATGATATTCATGACTCTTTATATTTTTTTCAAGTCTTAATCTGGATGTGTAATCTAAAGTTGCAATAATTATGATCCTTGTAACTTACGACAGTATACAGTATACTCGAGGGATAACGTCGTCTGCATTAATTCGTTCGGAGATCACAATAATATATTGACATTAGTATGCGTTCGTTTAATGAAAGATACTAAATATTGAAATCTCCGAACTGATACAAATAATAGGCATATTGCTTTTGTTTATAAGCTTTTAAACTTGGAGTTTTATTTTCGGATCTGTCAGATGTTTGACACGGCCAAAAATTTCAAAAAATTTGTTGCATATGATATGTCAGTTTAAATATAATTGCAGTATACAATTTCGAATCCTACACAGTCTTCTTTATATTATTTTATTTGTGTTCATTCTAGAATTGATGCCTGTGGAGAGATGAATTTATCTTTGTTAGGCGACAGGACCTATAAATAATTTAGAAACCACGCGCTTTGTTGCGCTAATTGGATATATTAAACCAAAATATTCCATATGTTTCGGTAAACATGGATAATATTAAAATATGTGTAATGTGGCTGCTTGTACAAGCCATTCACTGTTGGGTGATGCATATTCCCTGATACATACTCATAGTATTTACTTTCCAGGTATAAAATAATTGATAATATAATGTAACAAATATTCAATTTTCTTTTGAGTTTTGATAGGATAAATACCGCAACTTGTGCGATCTGTTTGTTTTCAAAATTATCAAAATTAATTGCGCGATTCGCGCAGATATTATCAATAAAGCTATGTACACTAAATATGGACTGAATCTATGAGATAAACACTCCGATATAGTAAATTCCAAAGCAATTCGTACATTTTCTAAATAAGGAACAAAGGGAGTCTAAAATTGAACTTTTTTAAAACAATACCTTAAGGCCTGATTCCACGGGCGCTTTTTCTTGGCGAAATGCGAAATATTTCGCCTGTTTCTTTTGAATTGTGATCAATCAAGTAGAAATAATTTATTCGAGTAGTCGCAATTCAAAAGAAACAGGCGAAATATTTCGCATTTCGCCGAGAAAAAGCGCTCGTGGAATCAGGCTTTTATATAATGTACTAGATCGACTCGTGGAGGCTCAGTCGAAATGCTAATTCAAGCTGTTTCTCATAGCAAGTTTCATGTTATTATATTTCAAGCGTTGCTGAATAACACAGTTTGATTCACCGAAAATTTTGCCGACCGCATGCAAATGTGCTAAAGCTCAATTATTGTCGATTGCAATCGATCTTTCATATGAAATTCGAATCGAAAATGCATGTATCTCAGTATGTACAGAACTACAAAATAAATGGAATCGTATTACATTGCACATATAGTTCAATGCATGGGTGTTTGATGAACTATAGCCTTTCTCGGGATGTAAAATGGAAATGTAGTCCTCTTCATCAACTTTGATATACACTTATATAACTCAAATTTAATTCTTCTGAAACAGGTGTATAGATTTTGATTAAAAAAATTTTCCCTCTGTATATATATTTCGACTTATTTAGACTTTAAGTGAATGCAGCTGTTAACTATAGCTTATATAAGTTTATGTTCCGTATTTCATGCTGCGTTTCGCTCGTCGGCTCATTTCATTTCAACATGCCAACTTGGTCTGTGGCGTATAGTGTTCGAATGTAGTATTGCGGATTGGATTAATTAGACTGCCTGGCGTTGGCGAGGTATTCAAACTGTAATTCTAATCCCTTTCAGGTTGTTGGTAATATCTATTAATTTCAAAGCTTAATAATAATATTGTGAAATATGAACTATCTACATTGTCCGAGTCATGCAGAAAGCTCATCGACAAGTTTTCGATAAAGAAGTGTAGACATGTACAAACGTATTCCTATATTCGTGTCAATTAAATAAGCAAATATACGCGTCGGAAATTGTTTCCAAACACTTTGCGACACAGTGAAAATTAAAATGTAATTATTAACTCGCTGCCTGATAGGCTGTATAATCACTATAGATTCTATGCGCAGTAAGACTTTAGTTATATTGCATATCCACCTACCGACAACTTTGAGCGAAACTACATTTTCCGCCGGAGCCAGATGTCTTTCTGTCATTTTCACACTGATTCCGTAGTCATACGTGTGATCGAATTGTACATTCAATATTGAAATAGAAGCCTTTCCGATTCCACCTTCTTTGAGAGAGATCTCGCACACGAACAATTTCTGACGTTCCAGTATATAAGGATTGTACTGAAATATTCCCGATTTAATCACCCTAGAAGCGATAGTTGTCTTCGCTTTTTTATGCAGTCCATAGCTAAATAGCACTATCCGACGAATATCACTGGCCGAGCGAAATTTGAAATTCCATTCCAATTTTATATTCTTTCCGACCAGAACAAGATTTGATTTATCTGGGGTGGACGTGAAGATGGGCTTTCTTGGATTTGGTGTGCTGGTGCCTAGAAATACACCGAGAATTAAAAAGAATTGCACAATGTTATTGACAAAGGGTAATAAGGCTTTAAATCGAGCCAAGCATTTGCTTATTGGATAGATAATCTCACTCTTATCAAGTTTTTATTCTGATTCCCAAACAAACCATATGTATATATCATATATTTATATGCCCTGGTGTAAATTTGAGATACAAAATTTGCAATGTGGTTTATTTCAAAATTCATACAAATATCCGTATAATTGTTTTCTGAAAAAAATTTTGTATTAATAAAACAAAAATACAAAAACGTTTCAGCAATAGGACACTTACCATTTACAGCAAGTTTGACCCATAGTAGTGTAAAAATAAAGGTGCAAAATTTCTCCATTTTGTCCTGTGTAGACAAAAACCTTGGCTAGTTATTGCCTCTTAATATGACGACGATGCGACTAGCTTGGTTTCCTTGTGATATGAAAGTGGAAGTCCGACGCGTTTCAATTTAATTGTTTTTCTGCATTGCCACCTGACCTTAATAATAAGTTGTCATACTCAACCCCGGAAGTGTGTTTCTGGCCTTATCTACGAAGTAGAGACTGAATGTCTCAAGTTGGCCGTGTGAACAACGAGGTTGTGAGAACGCTTTAGGAATTTGCTGACTTGTCTAGACCGGTCTAGCTGGTGCAATTGAACGAAATGCGCGTTTTATTAAATCCAGCGCCAGTTAATTCGGCAATCTTTTTAAGCAACTCCAGATAATGTCTTTTGGTCTCTTCGCTTTGATTATAATTACGGCGCGCTGACCGCACAACTTGAATTTATTCAATTTCGCTTAGATCGGCACTCGAGACCCGCCCGTATGGGATTTCACAAAAACCGCATTATTACGAAGCCAAGTATTTATACATCATTAGTGCAACGAGACGATTTTCTTCCTTATCTGGCCTTGAAGTAACTGTGCCAAGAACGCCCCGCACTGTTTACTTATCGCAGTTTTGCGCTTCTGGAATATTTATCGCAGTTGATACCTGGCTTGATTATCTTTGAAGGGTAATTAACACAGCAGTTATACGAATCATGAAAATTCCGCTCATGCTCTTCGCAATAATTGTGTACTAATATGTCGGCATAGAACTCCAAATCCATCCATAAATAGCAAAATTGGAGTATCCCAAGGCAGCATTACCAAACTTTCTCACAAGAGAACATTATTATAAGTATTATATCCATTATCCCATGAAAACACTGTGGGAACCGACTCGAAGTTATGATCGAATTGTAATGTACGCGGTATAGTGCGCACAATATCTTATTAGGGGTCTTGCCGAGAGTTCTACAGCTACAGGCGATTCCCGACAGCGAGGTTTTTCCCGACAACTGATAACCTGCATTTTGAAAATGTCAGTATAAAATTCAGACTTATTTGGGCATTCAGATGATCAATAGTCATAAATACTGTAGTGTGTAAAACTAATCACGACAAAGGAAACGTTATCATGTGGTCTATTGGGACTTCGGTGGTGCATGCAATCGTTAGAGCAAGGGCCTTTTATGCATGGGTTCGATTCTCTCTAGTTATATGTGAAACGCTCTATCGAAAGTCGAGCCGAAAGACGTGGGTTTTCCCTGGTCACCTCCCACAGGGAATGTTGACAGAGTGGGCTGGGATATAGGTCTCAAAGTGCACTACGATTATATCACACATCCCAAGTTTGAAAACGGAAATTTTTTTTAATTTTTCCGTTGATAGTACTGATGCGGCAATTTAAGTTAGTTGAACAATGAAAGCATCTTGTGGTGCAAATGTATGTACGATTGTATTGTATTGTATAGTCAAGATCTGTCTACATGTTCCCGGCTTTGAATGGCGCCAAAAATATAGAGTAGGCCTATATATATGCAATAAAATTAGTCAGCCATTGTTATGTTATGATTTAAAGATCCGTAGGTACTCCACAAACAAAATACAGTGATAATAATTGAAACACTATACAATATAATAATATGCTCTTCATTGAATATTTTCAACATTCATTCATTCATTAAATCCATCTAAACTGTGCCCTGTTCACGTACTCTTATTGAAATATGTTTTACCGAAAAAGATCACAAGCTAGTAAATGTTGACTGAATTTGAAAAAAGACGAGGACATCGCCTGATCTAATTGCGGTTCATTCTATTTTCATTGTCGTGTCAAATCGTCGCTATGCCTGGCGTCACAGTGGTCGCTTGCTTTGTTGCTAGAGTTGGGACCACCATGCATAAAAAAAGTTCAAAGATGATTGATGCATTACTGCTAGCAGCCGTAGTGTCTAGCTCTTTATATACATTGGTGCCACTTGTTGCTGTTTTCCGAGTGGGACAATTGATGAGTGCGCCAATGATCTGTTTGTATTTCGTAATTTGTACTTGTATAGCTATAATTATATGTTCCATAAGCTAGTTTTCAGACAATGTAAATTTTTCATATTTTTTTAATACAAACCAAACACACTATATACATGCATATAAATATGTTCGACGCGTAACCAGGATTATCAGTCATATTGAGTTTTTGGAGGCTGATCTAGCTCTCTTCAAGGGGTGTTTAACAAAAACTGCACTCTGGCAGACGGAAGCTTGTAAAATTAATAAATATTTTAAACCAGAAATCGTCCAAAAACTCAACAACATATACAGCTTAAAAATAGTTCCGAAAATAAACCTGATGTCAGTGTAATACTATATGTCTTATGATTAATTTACTGGATCGCCAATATATATATATACACTGTAAGTAATGGTACGAAATGAAAGGAATGAGATTGTATGGCTAATTGATGAGACTGAGGGAACTTTTTCATCTATAACCCCCAGTCAATTAACTGTGCTGGACATTATGCAGTATTATACACACTTCTATATAGCACAGTCTGTATTAATTAAAATTGGGTATATATAGAAATATTGTGCAAAATAAAATATTTTAAATCTGATGAAGAAGATAATTTTATTGTATTCTCTATTTCCCCAAATTAAGGCAAAAATAAGAACGTGAACGGGCTTCCCACACATTTCTCATACTATGTCTGACCACACTACCACAGAATTACATGTTGTCTGCCAGTGTAAGGGCAATATATTATATATTCTAAACCGCCGGCCATGGCATGTATACTAGATCATAGCTCGCGCTAACTCTCATGACAAACGACACCCAGCAATATATGAACTGATCTGATGGCCGCCCCGAAACCCATTAAAAACGATTGGAAACAAGATAGAAATATATTTCAACTTTAATATATTTTACAATTAATTATATCACTTTATTGCTTCACAGTTACTCAGCTTTCTGCTTCGTTTTCTTGTGTTTGAGGCTTTGTAAATATGCTTGGTGAAGTGAACCACATGCAGATTTATTCTTACACATATATTTCAGTTGCCAATCAGTTGGGTGTAGTTAAAGGTCCATTTTTACGAGATATTGGCAAATTGTAGTCAGAAAAGGCACTGCATGCTCTTTCTTTGTAATCAGATCACACAGATCATCACTAATCGGGAGTGATAAGACCTGAATAATACCTAAATTAAAAGCGACAAGGGTTATAACTAATAATTTACTATAAACCCGATGAATTTGTGCTATATTAAAATATATGAACATACTTAGTAGTTTTTTATAGAGAATTAAGGATGCATTTTAGGACAATTAAGTAGTTAAATGTTCCTCAAATTATTTTGTTAGTTTTCGTTTATTTGTATTTGCTTCAGTAAGACTTGTAACGGTAAAAATAGATCCTTGTGGTATATTGTTCAGCTTGCTTATAATATTGAAACAAATTGTTCATGAATCCAATTAGTTTAATTAATTTTTTAATTGATAGTTTCCTTAAAAAATTACAAAGCTTATACTCATGCTATTTCAGTCATAGACATATAGCCATGTACAAAGTTGTTGTGTGCATACCTGTAGCCGAAACAGATTAAATGTAATTAGTTTAACAAAGCATATCAGTTTCCTAAAAGAAGAATGTTGCGATAAAGAGCTCCATTGAAAGCAAACTGAAACAAGACAAAACATCTTCAGTTGATACAAAATTTCTTAATTTAAAAGCTAGAAAATAAATCCAAATAGCTGTCTCAGTGTCTCAGTGCCGGATTATATACAACAGGACGACAGGACGCTCCACAGTCGGCACAGAACGTTAGCCTAATTAAGTCGCGAGGCTATGCCTATGGAAATAATGCAATCTTAAAAAATCCATGCCCATGGTGTACAAGTACATGCACTAAAGTCAAGAAGAGCGCGTTTGTTTTCTCGAAAATATCGATTCTTGAAGTTTGCCTTGCATTTCTCTCTAATACTTAAAATAAGTTTGTTATTGGTCACAACAATAATAAGCAGCGTGCATTAATTGCAATAGAATTTAAATTGGAATAATATTGAAGAGAATTGTTTTGTCGAAAATCATTATTTTCGAAACTTACGGTTTGGTGTTTGCACTATAGTAGTCAACTAAACCGAAGTTACAAAACATAGACTAAAACGCCATATAACAGTCTATGGTTTGGGGCTTTTTTTGTCTTTCTTATAACTTTCGTTTATTTACAGTGTAATTGTAGCGTATATGAGACCTGGTGATAATAGGGTTGCCTTCTAGCGATTACGTATAATTTCGAGCATAGACAAGTTACGTAATTTTGTCGATTTGTGGCCTAGAAATAAAGAGAACAAAAACCGAAGGGCAAACTTTAAAGTCCCTAATAATGCCGAATATAGTTTAAAATAGCGTTTCGTTCGTTTGCAATTATGACGTCATAGAAAACCCTGGGAAAAAGTTATGACGTCTTAGCATCCCCTGGCAAAGTTTTTCTCAGTGCCCTGCGGCCCCCGCGCAACCTGTCGGCGGCACTGTCTATCCACACTGGATATCGTATCGGAAGCGTATCCACACTGGGCACGCTGAAACGGTTTGCTTGACCGCGTTGGTAATGGAACCCGCGACATCCAATGTCACGCATAGGTCACGCTCAGAGGAGGTTCAAGTCCGTCTCTCTAGAGTCCGAATCGCGAAGCAACGAAATCGAGCGCGCCGCGAAGCGGCGCGCGAGAATGGAGGAAGAGACGGACTTGGCTCACTTGCAATGTTCAGAAAAATAATAATTATTTTGGCGGGAAATTATATTAATAGACAGGTGTTATTTTTAGCGGTTTTGTTACCAGTACGGAAGCCCGCAGGTGTCAGGGCAAAATTACCCATCGCGATCGAAACAAAATAGTCTAGCATTGAAAATATTAAAATACAAAGGTCACTGCAAAATAAAGTTGACTTATAAAGGCAATACATCACTATTCAACATTTATTTGTCATCATTGACATTATGACCGATTCTGAGACGCTAAAACC